AAGCATGGGAAGCTTGTATGATACCGTTACACTACGAGCGCTTCTGTTTTAGTTATTCGTATAGCTTCTCGGCTGTGAGCCGATTGCCGAGGGTCTCTAGACTTCACCAATTTGATAAGATGTGTGGTATAGGCTCTGCGCCCGCCGGGAGTCGAACCCGGATCACAAGCATGGGAAGCTTGTATGATACCGTTACACTACGAGCGCTTCTGTCTTAACTATTCGTATAGCTTCTCGGCTGTGAGCTGATTGCCTAGGGTTTCTACACTTCACCAATTTGGTGAATTGGTGAAGTGGGGTAGGTTCTGCGCCCGCCGGGAGTCGAACCCGGGTCACAAGCATGGGAAGCTTGTATGATACCGTTACACTACGAGCGCTTCTGTCTTAGCTATTCGTATAGCTTCTCGGCTGTGAGCTGATTGCCTAGGGTCTCCAGACTTCATCAATTTGATAAGGAGATGTGGGTATAGTCTCTGCGCCCGCCGGTAGTTGCACCCCGGTCACAAGCATGGGAAGCTTGTATGATACCGTTACACTACGAGCGCTTCTGTCTTAGCTATTCGTGTAGCTTCTCGGCTGTGAGCTGATTGCCTAGGGTCTCCAGACTTCACCAATTTGATAAGATGTGTGGTATAAGCTCTGCGCCCGCCGGGAGTCGAACCCGGGTCACAAGCATGGGAAGCTTGTATGATACCGTTACACTACGAGCGCTTCTGTTTTAGTTATTCGTATAGCTTCTCGGCTGTGAGCCGATTGCCGAGGGTCTCTAGACTTCACCAATTTGATAAGATGTGTGGTATAGGCTCTGCGCCCGCCGGGAGTCGAACCCAGGTCACAAGCATGGGAAGCTTGTATGATACCGTTACACTACGAGCGCTTCTGTTTTAGTTATTCGTATAGCTTCTCGGCTGTGAGCCGATTGCCGAGGGTCTCTAGACTTCACCAATTTGATAAGATGTGTGGTATAGGCTCTGCGCCCGCCGGGAGTCGAACCCAGGTCACAAGCATGGGAAGCTTGTATGATACCGTTACACTACGAGCGCTTCTGTCTTAACTATTCGTATAGCTTCTCGGCTGTGAGCTGATTGCCTAGGGTTTCTACACTTCACCAATTTGGTGAATTGGTGAAGTGGAGTAGGTTCTGCGCCCGCCGGGAGTCGAACCCGGGTCACAAGCATGGGAAGCTTGTATGATACCGTTACACTACGAGCGCTTCTGTTTTAGTTATTCGTATAGCTTCTCGGCTGTGAGCCGATTGCCTGAGGGTCTCCTAGACTTCACCAATTTGATAAGGAGATGTGGGTATAGTCTCTGCGCCCGCCGGTAGTTGCACCCCGGGTCACAAGCATGGGAAGCTTGTATGATACCGTTACACTACGAGCGCTTCTGTTTTAGATATTCGTATAGCTGCCCGGCTGTGAGCCGATTGCTCAGGGTCTCCACACTTCACCAATCTGATAAGAAGATATGTGGTATAAGCTCTGCGCCCGCCGGTAGTTGCACACCGGTCACAAGCATGGGAAGCTTGTATGATACCGTTACGTTACGAGCGCTTCTTTTTTAGCTATTCGTATAGCTTCTTGGCTGTGAGCTGATTGCCTAGGGTTTCTACACTCCACCAATTTGACAAGATGTGTGGCGTAGGCTCTGCGCCCGCCGGTAGTCGAACCCCGGTCACAAGCTTGGGAAGCTTGTATGATACCGTTACACTACGAGCGCTTCTGTCTTAGCTATTCGTATAGCTTCTCGGCTGTGAGCTGATTGCCTAGGGTCTCCAGACTTCATCAATTTGATAAGGAGATGTGGGTATAGTCTCTGCGCCCGCCGGTAGTTGCACCCCGGTCACAAGCATGGGAAGCTTGTATGAAACCGTTACGTTACGAGCGCTTCTGTTTTAGCTATTCGTATAGCTGCCCGGCTGTGAGCCGATTGCCTAGGGTTTCTACACTTCACCAATTTGACAAGATGTGTGCCGTAGGCTCTGCGCCCGCCGGGAGTCGAACCCGGGTCACAAGCATGGGAAGCTTGTATGATACCGTTACACTACGAGCGCTTCTGTCTTAGCTATTCGTGTAGCTTCCCGGCTGTGAGCTGATTGCCTAGGGTCTCCACACTTTACCAATTTGATAAGAAGATGTGTGGTACAAGCTCTGCGCCCGCCGGGAGTCGAACCCGGGTCACAAGCATGGGAAGCTTGTATGATACCGTTACACTACGAGCGCTTCTCTTTTAGTTATTCGTATAGCTGCCCGGCTGTGAGCCGATTGCCGATCTCTAGACTTCACCAATTTGATAAGATGTGTGGTGTAGGCTCTGCGCCCGCCGGGAGTCGAACCCGGGTCACAAGCATGGGAAGCTTGTATGATACCGTTACACTACGAGCGCTTCTGTCTCAACTATTCGTATAGCTTCTCGGCTGTGAGCTGATTGCCTAGGGTTTCTACACTTCACCAATTTGGTGAATTGGTGAAATGGGGTAGGTTCTGCGCCCGCCGGGAGTCGAACCCGGGTCACAAGCATGGGAAGCTTGTATGATACCGTTACACTACGAGCGCTTCTGTCTTAGCCATTCGTATAGCTTCTCGGCTGTGAGCTGATTGCCTAGGGTCTCCAGACTTCATCAATTTGATAAGGAGATGTGGGTATAGTCTCTGCGCCCGCCGGTAGTTGCACCCCGGTCACAAGCATGGGAAGCTTGTATGATACCGTTACGTTACGAGCGCTTCTGTTTTAGCTATTCGTATAGCTGCCCGGCTGTGAGCCGATTGCCTAGGGTCTCCAGACTTCATCAATTTGATAAGGAGATGTGGGTATAGTCTCTGCGCCCGCCGGTAGTTGCACCCCGGTCACAAGCATGGGAAGCTTGTATGATACCGTTACGTTACGAGCGCTTCTGTTTTAGCTATTCGTGTAGCTTCTCGGCTGTGAGCTGATTGCCTAGGGTTTCTACACTCCACCAATTTGACAAGATGTGTGGCGTAGGCTCTGCGCCCGCCGGTAGTTGCACCCCGGTCACAAGCGTGGGAAGCTTGTATGATACCGTTACACTACGAGCGCTTCTGTCTTAGCTATTCGTATAGCTTCTTGGCTGTGAGCTGATTGCCTAGGGTCTCCAGACTTCATCAATTTGATAAGGAGATGTGGGTATAGTCTCTGCGCCCGCCGGTAGTTGCACCCCGGTCACAAGCATGGGAAGCTTGTATGATACCGTTACACTACGAGCGCTTCTGTTTTAGCTATTCGTATAGCTGCCCGGCTGTGAGCCGATTGCCTAGGGTTTCTACACTTCATCAATTTGATAAGGAGGATGTGGTATAGGCTCTGCGCCCGCCGGGAGTCGAACCCGGGTCACAAGCATGGGAAGCTTGTATGATACCGTTACACTACGAGCGCTTCTGTCTTTAGCTATTCGTATAGCTTCTCGGCTGTGAGCTGATTGCCTAGGGTCTCCAGACTTCATCAATTTGATAAGGAGATGTGGGTATAGTCTCTGCGCCCGCCGGTAGTTGCACCCCGGTCACAAGCATGGGAAGCTTGTATGATACCGTTACGTTACGAGCGCTTCTGTTTTAGCTATTCGTATAGCTGCCCGGCCGTGAGCCGATTGCCTAGGGTTTCTACACTTCACCAATTTGACAAGATGTGTGGCGTAGGCTCTGCGCCCGCCGGGAGTCGAACCCGGGTCACAAGCATGGGAAGCTTGTATGATACCGTTACACTACGAGCGCTTCTGTCTTAGCTATTCGTATAGCTTCTCGGCTGTGAGCTGATTGCCTAGGGTTTCTACACTTCACCAATTTGACAAGATGTGTGGCGTAGGCTCTGCGCCCGCCGGGAGTCGAACCCGGGTCACAAGCATGGGAAGCTTGTATGATACCGTTACACTACGAGCGCTTCTGTCTTAGCTATTCGTATAGCTTCTCGGCTGTGAGCTGATTGCCTAGGGTTTCTACACTTCACCAATTTGACAAGATGTGTGGTGTAGGCTCTACGCCCGCCGAGAGTCGAACCCGGGTCACAAGCATGGGAAGCTTGTATGATACCGTTACACTACGAGCGCTTCTGTCTTAGCTATTCGTATAGCTTCTCGGCTGTGAGCTGATTGCCTAGGGTCTCCACACTTCACCAATTTGATAAGAAGATGTGTGGTATAAGCTCTGCGCCCGCCGGGAGTCGAACCCGGGTCACAAGCATGGGAAGCTTGTATGATACCGTTACACTACGAGCGCTTCTGTTTTAGATATTCGTATAGCTGCCCGGCTGTGAGCTGATTGCCTAGGGTCTCCAGACTTCATCAATTTGATAAGGAGATGTGTGGTATAAGCTCTGCGCCCGCCGGGAGTCGAACCCGGGTCACAAGCATGGGAAGCTTGTATGATACCGTTACACTACGAGCGCTTCTGTTTTAGTTATTCGTATAGCTGCCCGGCTGTGAGCCGATTGCCGAGCGTCTCTAGACTTCACCAATTTGATAAGAAGATGTGTGGTTAATGTTTGCGCCCGCCGGGAGTCGAACCCGGGTCACAAGCATGGGAAGCTTGTATGATACCGTTACACTACGAGCGCTTCTGTTTTAGCTATTCGTATAGCTTCTCGGCTGTGAGCTGATTGCCTAGGGTTTCTACACTTCACCAATTTGATAAGAAGATGTGTGGTTAATGTCTGCGCCCGCCGGGAGTCGAACCCGGGTCACAAGCATGGGAAGCTTGTATGATACCGTTACACTACGAGCGCTTCTGTTTTAGCTATTCGTATAGCTGCCCGGCTGTGAGCCGATTGCCTAGGGTTTCTACACTTCACCAATTTGGTAAGAAGATGTGTGGTATAAGCTCTGCGCCCACCGGAGTCGAACCCGGGTCCCAAGCATAGGAAGCTTGTATGATACCGTTACACTACTAGCGCTTCTACCTCAGTTGTTCGTATAGCTGCCCGGCAGTGAGCCGATTGCCTAGGGTCTCCACACTTCACCAATTTGACAAGAAGATATGTGGCATAGGTTCTGCGCCCCCCTGAAGTCGAACCCGGGTTACAAGCATGAGAAGCTTATATGATACCGTTACACTACGAGCGCTTCTATTTCTCATATTCGTACAGCGGCTCGGCTGTGAGCCGATTGCCTAGGGTCTCCACGCTTCGCCAATTTGATAAGGAGATGTGGGTATAGTCTCTGCGCCCGCCGGTAGTTGCACCCCGGTCACAAGCATGGGAAGCTTGTATGATACCGTTACGTTACGAGCGCTTCTGTTTTAGCTATTCGTATAGCTTCTTGGCTGTGAGCTGATTGCCTAGGGTCTCCAGACTTCATCAATTTGATAAGGAGATGTGGGTATAGTCTCTGCGCCCGCCGGTAGTTGCACCCCGGTCACAAGCATGGGAAGCTTGTATGATACCGTCACGTTACGAGCGCTTCTGTTTTAGCTATTCGTATAGCTGCCCGGCTGTGAGCCGATTGCCTAGGGTTTCTACACTTCACCAATTTGACAAGATGTGTGGAGTAGGCTCTGCGCCCGCCGGGAGTCGAACCCGGGTCACAAGCATGGGAAGCTTGTATGATACCGTTACACTACGAGCGCTTCTGTCTTAGGTATTCGTATAGCTGCCCGGCTGTGAGCCGATTGCCGAGCGTCTCTAGACTTCACCAATTTGATAAGAAGATATGTGGTTAGTGTCTGCGCCCGCCGGAAGTCGAACCCGGGTCACAAGCATGGGAAGCTTGTATGATACCGTTACACTACATGCGCTTCTGTCTTAACTATTCGTATAGCTTCTCGGCTGTGAGCTGATTGCCTAGGGTTTCTACACTTCACCAATTTGACAAGATGTGTGGCGAAGGCTCTGCGCCCGCCGGGAGTCGAACCCGGGTCACAAGCTAGGAAGCTTGTATGATACCGTTACACTACGAGCGCTTCTGTCTTAGCTATTCGTATAGCTTCTTGGCTGTGAGCTGATTGCCTAGGGTTTCTACACTTCACCAATTTGACAAGATGTGTGGCGTAGGCTCTGCGCCCACCGGGAGTCGAACCCGGGTCACAAACATGGGAAGCTTGTACGATACCGTTACACTACGAGCGCTTCTGTCTTAGCTATTCGTATAGCTTCTTGGCTGTGAGCTGATTGCCTAGGGTCTCCAGACTTCACCAATTTTATAAGGAGATGTGGGTATAGTCTCTGCGCCCGCCGGTAGTTGCACCCCGGTCACAAGCATGGGAAGCTTGTATGATACCGTTACACTACGAGCGCTTCTGTCTTAGCTATTCGTATAGCTTCTTGGCTGTGAGCTGATTGCCTAGGGTCTCCAGACTTCATCAATTTGATAAGGAGATGTGGGTATAGTCTCTGCGCCCGCCGGTAGTTGCACCCCGGTCACAAGCATGGGAAGCTTGTATGATACCGTTACGTTACGAGCGCTTCTGTTTTAGCTATTCGTATAGCTGCCCGGCTGTGAGCCGATTGCCTAGGGTTTCTACACTTCACCAATTTGACAAGATATGTGGAGTAGGCTCTACGCCCGCCGGGAGTCGAACCCGGGTCACAAGCATGGGAAGCTTGTATGATACCGTTACACTACGAGCGCTTCTGTCTTAGGTATTCGTGTAGCTTCTCGGCTGTGAGCTGATTGCCTAGAGTCTCCACACTTTACCAATTTGATATGAAGATGTGTGGTACAAGCTCTGCGCTTGCCGGGAGTCGAACTCGGGTCACAAGCATGGGAAGCTTGTACGATACCGTTACACTACGAGCGCTTCTGTTTTAGTTATTCGTATAGCTTCCCGGCTGTGAGCCGATTGCCGAGGGTCTCTAGACTTTACCAATTTTATAAGAAGATGTGTAATTAGTCTCTGCGCCCGCCGGAAGTCGAATCCGGGTCACAAGCTAGGAAGCTTGTATGATACCGTTACACTACGAGCGCTTCTGTCTTAGCTATTCGTATAGCTTCTTGGCTGTGAGCTGATTGCCTAGGGTCTCCAGACTTCACCAATTTTATAAGGAGATGTGGGTATAGTCTCTGCGCCCGCCGGTAGTTGCACCCCGGTCACAAGCATGGGAAGCTTGTATTATACCGTTACACTACGAGCGCTTCTGTCTTTAGCTATTCGTATAGCTTCTTGGCTGTGAGCTGATTGCCTAGGGTCTCCAGACTTCATCAATTTGATAAGGAGATGTGGGTATAGTCTCTGCGCCCGCCGGTAGTTGCACCCCGGTCACAAGCATGGGAAGCTTGTATGATACCGTTACGCTACGAGCGCTTCTGTTTTAGCTATTCGTATAGCTTCTCGGCTGTGAGCTGATTGCCTAGGGTTTCTACACTCCACCAATTTGACAAGATGTGTGGCGTAGGCTCTGCGCCCGCCGGTAGTTGTACCCCGGTCACAAGCGTGGGAAGCTTGTATGATACCGTTACACTACGAGCGCTTCTGTCTTAGCTATTCGTATAGCTTCTTGGCTGTGAGCTGATTGCCTAGGGTCTCCAGACTTTCACTCAATTTGATAAGGAGATGTGGGTATAGTCTCTGCGCCCGCCGGTAGTTGCACCCCGGTCACAATCATGGGAAGCTTGTATGATACCGTTACACTACGAGCGCTTCTGTCTTAGCTATTCGTGTAGCTTCCCGGCTGTGAGCCGATTGCCGATCTCTAGACTTCACCAATTTGATAAGAAGATATGTGGTTAGTGTCTGCGCCCGCCGGAGTCGAACCCGGGTCACAAGCATGGGAAGCTTGTATGATACCGTTACACTACGAGCGCTTCTGTCTTAACTATTCGTATAGCTTCTCGGCTGTGAGCTGATTGCCTAGGGTTTCTACACTTCACCAATTTGACAAGATGTGTGGCGTAGGCTCTGCGCCCGCCGGGAGTCGAACCCAGGTCACAAGCATGGGAAGCTTGTATGATACCGTTACACTACGAGCGCTTCTCTTTTAGTTATTCGTATAGCTGCCCTGGCTGGGAGCCGATTGCCGATCTCTAGACTTCACCAATTTTGATAAGAAGATATGTGGTTAGTGTCTGCGCCCGCCGGGAGTCGAACCCGGGTCATAAGCTAGGGAAGCTTGTATGATACCGTTACACTACGAGCGCTTCTGTCTTAGCTATTCGTGTAGCTTCCCGGCTGTGAGCCGATTGCCGATCTCTACACTTCACCAATTTGATAAGAAGATATGTGGTTAGTGTCTGCGCCCGCCGGGAGTCGAACCCGGGTCACAAGCACTGGAAGCTTGTATGATACCGTTACACTACGAGCGCTTCTGTCTTAACTATTCGTATAGCTTCTCGGCTGTGAGCTGATTGCCTAGGGTTTCTACACTTCACCAATTTGACAAGATGTGTGGCGTAGGCTCTGCGCCCGCCGGGAGTCGAACCCGGGTCACAAGCATGGGAAGTTTGTATGATACCGTTACACTACGAGCGCTTCTCTTTTAGTTATTCGTATAGCTGCCCGGCTGTGAGCCGATTGCCGAGCGTCTCTAGACTTCACCAATTTGATCAGAAGATATGTGGTTAGTCTCTGCGCCCGCCGGGAGTCGAACCCGGGTCACAAGCATGGGAAGCTTGTATGATACCGTTACACTACGAGCGCTTCTGACTTAACTATTCGTATAGCTTCTCGGCTGTGAGCTGATTGCCTAGGGTTTCTACACTTCACCAATTTGACAAGATGTGTGGCGTAGGCTCTGCGCCCGCCGGGAGTCGAATTCGGGTCACAAGCATGGGAAGCTTGTATGATACCGTTACACTACGAGCGCTTCTGTCTTAGCTATTCGTGTAGCTTCCCGGCTGTGAGCCGATTGCCGATCTCTAGACTTCACCAATTTGATAAGAAGATATGTGGTTAGTGTCTGCGCCCGCCGGGAGTCGAACCCGGGTCACAAGCATGGGAAGCTTGTATGATACCGTTACACTACGAGCGCTTCTGTCTTAACTATTCGTATAGCTTCTCGGCTGTGAGCTGATTGCCTAGGGTTTCTACACTTCACCAATTTGACAAGATGTGGCGTAGGCTCTGCGCCCGCCGGGAGTCGAACCCGGGTCACAAGCATGGGAAGCTTGTATGATACCGTTACACTACGAGCGCTTCTCTTTTAGTTATTCGTATAGCTGCCCGGCTGTGAGCCGATTGCCGATCTCTAGACTTCACCAATTTGATAAGAAGATATGTGGTTAGTGTCTGCGCCCGCCGGGAGTCGAACCCGGGTCATAAGCTAGGAAGCTTGTATGATACCGTTACACTACGAGCGCTTCTCTTTTAGTTATTCGTATAGCTGCCCGGCTGTGAGCCGATTGCCGATCTCTAGACTTCACCAATTTGATAAAAAGATATGTGATTAGTGTCTGCGCCCGCCGGGAGTTGAACCCGGCTCACAAGCATTGGAAGCTAGCATGATACCGTTACACTACGAGCGCTTCTGTCTTAACTATTCGTATAGCTTCTCGGCTGTGAGCTGATTGCCTAGGGTTTCTACACTTCACCAATTTGACAAGATGTGTGGCGTAGGCTCTGCGCCCGCCGGGAGTCGAACCCGGGTCACAAGCATGGGAAGTTTGTATGATACCGTTACACTACGAGCGCTTCTCTTTTAGTTATTCGTATAGCTGCCCGGCTGTGAGCCGATTGCCGAGCGTCTCTAGACTTCACCAATTTGATCAGAAGATATGTGGTTAGTCTCTGCGCCCGCCGGGAGTCGAACCCGGGTCATAACCATGGGAAGCTTGTATGATACCGTTACACTACGAGCGCTTCTGTCTTAACTATTCGTATAGCTTCTGGGCTGT